GTTTATTAGATAATCTTCTTCTTAGCATAGAATCAATCAGTCCAAGAGAACAAAACCTAAAAACAAATTTGGCTAACTAAAGCTTAAATATACACAAACTCATAAATTTCACATGAACTTACTTCATAGACTTAAGTATTCAAATAATATTTTTTTTAAAGAAAAATCAATAACTTCCATTAACTTGATCGAGATACAGCATATATAATCTTCGTGATAAATAGCATTTGTTATACACAAACAGAAACAAACAAAAAAGGACAATCCTATTGTCTATTGATTCGTTCTTTGGCCATATTACGTTTGATCTCTGTGACGTCCATGAATACTCCATTACGTTTGATCTTCTTCATATCTCGCATCCAATTGTATACTCTAAAGTGAGTGATATACTGATATATCTTAACAACAACATTGACTTTAATATTCTTTAATATTGACTTATCAAGGACCATAATCATTGTTTACATCTTGATTTGTCTGAGAAAGGATGGACAAAGTTGATATAGAGACCACTGATGACTGATGATAAGTTTTCAACATGATTTGTCAACGATCTATATCAATTATCGTCTTAATATGATGACAGTAATAATGACAATTTTAACTTGGATGCAGAATAGATTATGATAGTATCTGGATAAATAAATTTGACGGTGACAGGCTGAGGCCCATATTCAGGCCCAGGACCATACAAGTCAAAGGCGACGAAGACCAAAACTTTTTCTGATTCGATTTGGTGAAAGAGAGAAAAAGCTTATGCTGAGAAAATCAATCTAGAACATGTTAGCGCGAACGCGAAGAATCGAATCAATTCCCAAGGAAGAAGAGAAAAGATCTTTCTTTGTTCTTCTGGAGAATACGTCTACTACGTAGTTTGGTCGGTGAGCTTTACCTGAAAGGTCACTGCTTTGGTTTTAATCCGCGGCAAAAAAATAAAAAAATCCATTTTTATTTATTCAGATCTGTGTATTGATCTGATTCTCTTCAGACGGATTTAAAGGAGTTGAATTGAGCACCGGGTTTGCGTTGGTTACTTGCGATTTCGATTTCAAGTTTTATAGAATGGGAAGGCCTCTGTTTTATGATATCATCGAGAAACCCGCAACGAGCTGCGTCGTGGCGATATGCAGTTTAATCTGGTTTGTGATTCAGAAGAAGAGTGTTGGGTACTCGCAAGTCGGGTTGAGTTACGAGACTGCGATCGAAGGGCATTACTGGAGGATGATCACATCTGCCTTCTCGCATATTAGCGTCTTGCATCTCGTCTTCAACATGAGTGCTCTGTGGAGTCTCGGTGTTGTGGAGCAGCTTGGGCATTTAGGTCTCGGAACCGCTTACTACCTTCACTACACTCTTGTTCTTGTCGTCTTCTCCGGTGTTTTGGTTATCGGGATCTACCATTTGCTGATTGCGAGATTCAAGATCGATTATTTCCGGAGAGTTACAGCTGTTGGGTACTCTTGCGTCGTCTTTGGCTGGATGACGATTCTCTCTGTGAAGCAACCTTCTTCAAAGCTTGATCTTTTTGGGCTTTTGTCTCTTCCCATTAGCTTCGCACCCTTCGAGTCACTCATTTTCACTTCCATCATTGTTCCGCAAGCTAGCTTTCTTGGACATTTGTCCGGAATCCTTGTCGGCTACGCCATTTCGTGGGGTTTGATTGGCGGGATGAGCAACTACTGGGCTCTCACGATGCTTGGCTGGATCGTTGTGGTGTTTGTATTCAGTTTGAAGAAGTCCGGTGCCTATGACTTCAGCTTTCTGGAGATCGAGTCGCTTACTGATGCCTCTTTACCCTCAGTGCGGTTCATTGGAAACGGACGGACCTTGCAAGCCAGTGCAGTTCCTCTTACTGGAGTGGAAGTTGCCTGAACTCAGTTTCAAGGTCAATGATGTGTTCTGGGAACAGAGTTCTTTACATCGAGCTAGTAGATGAAGACTCAGAGTTGGTAACAAATCCTTGAGGCTTTGCTTGAACTGTTTGTGGGAATGCTTCGTACACAAGGTGGTGATTGGGGGAAGGATTCCTTGTCTAATCAAAGTTAGTGTTGTTTAGGAATCATCGTCATAGATGAATTAGGACAGTCAATTATTTTGTTATATGTATTGATGTATGTAGTTGCGGAAAGGTCACATGTCTTAGCTATAGATTCCATCCACTAGACGTGTTTCCTCATTTGTGACCTTCACATTTATTTCATTATGAAAGTATGCTACCAATATTCTTGTATTGCTCGTTTCTCTTTGATATATTGTATATATATATTATCATTTGCACTCTTGCAATTTCACAAAGGTAATTGTATGAAGTTTTCTGCAGGTATCTTGGATTAGAGCAGTGTCTTCTCCTGTTACTAATTTCTGTCCTGTGTCGTTTCCTTTTTCTTATCTCTCAGAAAATAAGGTAAGAAAAGGTTACAATCACGGGTTCACAATTCAAGTTTTTATTTATGTCAAGTTGTAAAATAGTTCAAGAACGGATGATTTACAGTTTAGATAAGAGTCATGGCAATTGCATTTGGTATTAGAGTAGTCTAACTTAGATCCACTTTTGACTAGTAGTTGTTAATTTCCATTTGAACCTACTTTCAACCCAATTTTCATTCACAAGATCTGCATTATTACCCCAACTTCTCCACAACCACAATTTCTCTATATTTATTATATAAGCTGTACATTGATCAGGCGAATCTCTGAGCACTTGAAATGGAGAAGAAAGGCCAGCATGGTACACATGACTCGTTGCTGACTCATCACCCTATTCTCTGTATCGTTGCTTTGTCTGTAATTTTCATAGCGATCGACCCTTTTCACATAAGTCCAATCGGGGGTCGTGAGTTCAAACCCGTGAAGCATGAGGTTGCTCCATACAAGCAAGTCATGCAGAACTGGCCTAGAGACAACCTTAGTCGACTGGGCTATCATGGGAAACTGGAGTTTGTGGACCAAGTCTTTGGTCCAGAGTCACTAGAGTTTGATAGTTTGGGTCGTGGTCCATACACAGGCTTGGCTGATGGAAGGGTGGTTAGATGGATGGGTGAAGCCATCGGATGGGAGACATTTTCCGTTGTAACATCAAAATGGTAAAGCTTATATTATATTATATGTTCATCTCTTTAAGGTTGTTTCAGTTTCTCTTATTGATGTTGTGTGTTAATGAGAAAATAGGTCAGAGAAGGCTTGCGCAAGAGGTGTGGATTCAACAACAAACAAGCAATGGAAGCACGAGAAGCTGTGTGGGAGACCTCTTGGTCTGAGATTTGATAAAGAGACAGGACATTTGTACATTGCAGACGCTTACTATGGTCTACTAGTGGTTGGTCCTGAAGGAGGGCTCGCTACGCCTTTAGCTACTCATGTGGAAGGAAAACCTATACTCTTTGCCAACGATCTTGACATCCATACAAATGGCTCCATCTTCTTCACCGACACAAGCCAAAGATATGACAGAGCGTAAGTTTTCACGAAACAAAAACAAAAACTCTGCTTTTCTTGCGGTTTGGGTTTAATTGTATGATATATAAGAGTTTAGACATTGTATTTTTGTAGGAATCATTTCTTTATATTACTGGAAGGAGAATCAACAGGAAGGCTTCTAAGATATGACCCACCTACCAAAACAACACACGTTGTGCTTGATGGTTTGGCTTTCCCCAATGGCATTCAGCTCTCTAAAGACCAATCTTTCCTTCTCTTCACAGAAACAACCAATTGCAGGTATAACCATGTAAACAACCCTTAACATTCAAGCAAGACTAGTTCAAAATCATGGATATAGACTTTATAATTCTGTTTATCAATATGTGTATTTGACAGGTTGGTGAAATATTGGCTTGAGGGTTCAAAGAGGGGTGAAGTTGAGGTGGTGGCAGATCTACCGGGATTCCCAGACAACGTGAGAATAAACGACAAGGGTCAGTTTTGGGTTGCCATAGACTGTTGCAGAACACCGGCGCAAGAGGTTCTTACAAACAACCCTTGGATAAAGAGCATCTACTTCCGGTTGCCAATACCGATGAAGCTTCTGGCTAAAGCGATGGGGATGAGAATGTACACTGTGATATCTAAATTCGACGAGGAAGGTAAGGTCTTGGAGGTGTTTGAGGATAGACAAGGTAAGGTGATGAAGCTTGTGAGTGAAGTGAAGGAGGTTGAAGGGAAGCTTTGGATTGGAACAGTGGCTCATAACCATATTGCCTCTATGCCTTATCCTTTGACAACGAACCAATAAACAACTTTCATGTGTAGTTCTTTAGCGTCTGTAACCATATTGCCTCTTTGCCTTGTCCTTTTACATAGGATTGATGTTTTTCTTTTTGTTGATGTTATGTGAACTGCTCTTTTTTAAGTCCTCTTTCTTTTTAAGTCACTGAAGAGTGTCGATAGCTTACGATATCTCGGTCTCATTTCGTTTTTTTTTTAATCATTTGAAATATATAAACAAATGACTTTATAACTAATAGAGAAAATCTAAATCACATTAACTTGTAGAGCTTTTTGGTTTTCCAAAATAAAATCATTTGGTTGATCAAAATGAGCCCCCTTATGTCGTCGTCGTCTGGTTCTGACCAAAGAAGCTCATTGCAACATCCATCCCTCGGCAACATACTTTCTCTGACAGCCAATATGTAACGTATCCAAAAGCTGAAACCCATAGCACCGAAGCAAACAAGCCTGTCGATGCAACACACAAAAAGAAAATGTGTACGTTCAAATCCTATACTTTCACGCGGTTTCTATTAAGAGTTGGCACACACATTAAAGAGTTTTGTTCAAGATTCAAGAGGAAAGAAGGTAGCAGGAGCTTCTCCTCTTACGCACATACGATCTTAATGGTTTATCAACATCACAGCAGAAAACCCTAGTAACCCAGTAAAACTCAGCACGGTGTGGATATGCAAGAAGAGTAGAAGAAAACATATAGCACTTTATGAGATGCCGAAGAGCAAGGACTATGATCATTACCAATAGATTATGAGGGCATGTGGAGCTAAGTCTCAAGGCCCTTTTCCAGTCGAAGCATTTGATGGCAGTTGCTGAAGCTGTTGAAGAAGGTTAGCCGCAAGCTGTAGAGTAGACTGATATCGCTGGTCCTTATCGACCTCACCATCTGAAGTACCTTGACCAGCTCCATGAGGCACAAGCTCGAGCTGCTGCTGTGCTTGGCTACACGCATCAAAGTTAAGCTTGTTCGGTGGTTGTGGCATCGCAGTATGAGTTTGGGAAAAGTTTCCGTTATGCGCTTGATTATTTGTCAGACCGTGATGATTACCTTGGTGATAACCCTGATAAACGTGCAACCCAGGGTTCTCAGCTCCAGGGACCGGTATGTAGTTTTGGTTAAGCTTGGGAGCTGCAGGTTGATATTGCGGTCTCACGGGTTGAGAAACAGCTTGATGTGAACCTTGAGAGTACATGGCGTAATTATTCGGTGGAGGAGGAGGTAACGGCGCCTGCTGAGGCATACTAACATAAGGCGCTTGGTACTGCATACCACCTTGTACCATTCCACTGGAGTAGCTCGGTGTGCTTGACACTGGAGGATAATGCATCGGAGGAGGAGGTAGTTGCTCCACTAGATTGTATTGATTGCTAAATTGTTGTAATGATAGATTCAATGGCTCAGAAACCGTTGGTTGGTCTCGATTCCAAGCTTGCGACAGAGGTTTCTTCATTGGACACTCCAACAGATTGGTGACTTTCAGAGGCAATAGTAGGAGGTTGAGAAGTTGCAGGGAGCAAGGAGGCCAGCGTGGCTAATAGCTCGGGTGATAGACTAACCACAGCTTGTGGCGTTGCAGTGTTAGGTACAGCAACAGGCTCGCCAGAAGGAGCAAACGATAGTTTTGGACCCCTGTTGTAATCAAACAAGGCTGGATCTTCCCTAGCAGTGTACAAACCGTGGTTGGCATTAGCAGACGAATGACCCATATAGGATTGAGGAACGGACTGAGATTCTTGTATATACGATGGTGGTGGTGGGGGCAACTTGAGAACAACACCATATAGCCTTTCTGGTCCCGATACTTTGAGCACATCAGTTAAGAAATCTGATGGAGGAACCAAAAACAAAGTGGTTCCATCGTCTAATTTGGCAACACCTGCTCGGTTCTTTGAACCAAGATAGCGGAGAAATTCAGTATAAGACGCGAAGTCGTCTTCTCTGTCTGGTAAGAAGAAAACGATTTCAAACCCAATTGCTTCGGTATAATGTTTGGCAAGCATATCCAAACCCGTTCTTGCTGAACAATTGACGATCTCAGGGCTATTAACCATTCCAAAAACCGAGAATCAGTAAAACGAGGATTGTGTTCGAAATAACACTACGCAACCCATTTTGATATCAGAGAGTAGACAACACATACTACCTAATATATCACATCTAAAAGAATGAACAGATAGATAAAATTTCTTCTACATGAATGAAAAAGAAGGAAAAGTGACTGAAAATGTTACTCACAGGTCAGTTTCAATCCCTTTTCCAATAGGTACACAACGAGCATGACAAACAGGAGTTCCACCCTTGGCAATGACTCCTCTCCAAATGAAATCAGTATCAGGGAAACCACGGCCCGGTCTTGCTGCAACTGAGCCACGCCCATATGACCTATCCAATCCGGTGAAGGGTTCATCTACACCCATCGAATAAAAACCATCTACTGATCCATCTCTACGGGTTCTTTTAGGTTCTCTATCCAACCGATCAGGATCATATCCATCCCAAGAACCACGGTCTGACCTAACGGATAGCCTTGTACTTGGTGCAGGAGACGGGAGTATTCCAGCTCTAGTTGGAGATGACCTCCTCCAGCTTTCATCGCTATATTCTGGACCAGTATGTGAACGTTCCATGCTACCTCGGAAGGGCCTCATAGGGTCAAGAACAACACTGGAATGTGGTGACGATATGTATGGAGGAGGATCATTGATGAACATCTCAGGCCTTGATCGTTTGACACCAGAGAAACCGGCCTCATCTCCTCGTCCACGGGGAATGTTATCGTTTTGGTACATGATTGTGATTCTTGGATCATTGAATAACCTTCCCTGTAGTCCTTCCTTAGCACAGCGAGCTTCCTCAACGCTCCTAAATTCCACAAGTGAAAAATGCCTTGATGGGTAACTAATACATCTCTCAATCTCCCCAAATAGTATCATGCAATTGTGTAGCATTTGCTCGTCTATCTGAACAGAAGGAGGGTACCCAATCCACAGAACATTACTTGGTTCGTCATCTCCTTTATCATCTCCAAATGAGTGAGTATACTGTTAAGCATAGAACAATTTAAACTCAGGTACTTGGCAAGCACAAAGCTTTCTAAACTCTAAACGTCAAAGCTGATCAAGGATTATAAATATCACCAGCAAATAAAAAGAAACAGACTTTCTAGCATTAAGGAGGCTAACCTGCTGTGTAGCACTTAAACTCCCATCGTTGGAGCCAGGCCATGGTTCCTACAGAGAGAAGAGTGTTACTTGATTTCAGAGTGATTTAGCAAATTCTAAAACGTACATATGAAAAGTAGATGCAGAAGAAATAAGCATATAATCCCGTGACATTAAGAATCAGATAATTCAGGTAAATATTTTTACTACGTGCGCAATAAAGCTTCTAGCCATGGAAGTCTTACACAAATAATGAAACTTAACGCACTCAGCAGGAAGTTCTTACAAAATGGTAATTAAAGCTTATTCGAAACAGCAAGTGACAAGAGGGTGCTTACTTTTCTTATCCCTTGTGACCGAAGAAAATCAACTCGCAAAAAGCTACCACCCATTCGCTTTCCGTTCATGCTCTTTGCCTGTATAGCATCTTCCATTTCAAAAAAGTCGATAAAAGCTGTCTTGCGATCCCTAAGATATCTGAAATCTTCGATTTTCCCAAATCTCCTGAACACTGTCTTGAGTTCATCCTTTGACACACTCGGGCTGATTCCACCCACCCAAAGACTCTTACAAGGTTTTGCCTACAAACAAATAATTTCCATAAGAAGAGAACTTTTAAACATATAAAACACTTAAGAACAAATCACACTTCAATCCTTAAACACACAACATGACTTCAAGAGAACCATAACCATAAATAGAAGAGAACCATGTCCTTTTCAAAATCGGCAAGAGCATAACATTGTTTGAAAAAAAGCAAATTTGGCTCACAACTAAGTCAAACAAAAAGCAAAAATGCCGGTAGGTAGGTCTTTCATGGTCCACAACAAAACCTTTCATCATGTTGGGAGCGTTACTATTACAATCCCCAAAATCACTCATCTTGATTTTGCAGCAGAAACGTTTTGCAAAGTCTGGAGATTCTGGTAATCCCGAAAGTGTAATCAGAGATTTAGACTACTGAAGCTTAAGATACTGATACATTTCGCTGAAAGTTTATTTGCGAATCGTCACCGCAAGCATTCATCTTTAAGAGTTTCGAGTGCCGTTAGTGTATGAAAAGAGCTTCAGACACTAGATCTGACTACGCATTTGAAGTTAATAAAATACTCAATCTTACGAGACTGACAAATAGCAAACTGTATCTGGAACGAGCTTGATGCGATCAGGACACCCTAAAAATGCTGCTTTCCTGAGCTGATAACAAACCTGACATCAGCTTATGATTATGGAATCAATCGGCCGCAGTGAATTCGGAGTCGGTGTAAGTCTGCAAAGTCTTAAATGACAAGAAAGGAAAGAGCTTTGAAACAGTTCCGGTGACGTTAAGATAAGACAAAGGTGGTTATACGACTAGTGAGCTTTTTTCTTAGTCAGTTGTTAACGGATGGATAAACCATGGATCTGAGTTTTTTGATTTTGATCGAGACATGCAAAAAAACACACTAGAAAGCAACAAACTTTCCCGAACTAGACAAGCGTAAATGACGATTAAAGAATGTGATTTTTTTTCCAATATCGATTTTAACTATTAACAACAGACCATCATCAAAGTGAAGGAACAAACGAGGATTGAGAGCTAAGAGCGAAACGCAGAGAGGAGAACGAACCGGTCGCGCGAATTCGATCTTAATCTGACTCCCGTTCAAGTTGGCACCTTGAAGCGCCTCCTTCGCCGCCACGGCTTCCTCGACGCGCCTGTAGTAGATGAACGCGAAGCTACGGGAGGAAAACGCCGTGAGTCTGTCGATTTCACCGAACCTCCCGAACAGATCGGCCAGATCGGATTCCGTTGTATCGGTGGTCAAACTACCGACCCAGAGATTGCTCGATTGGAACCCAGAAGATCCGTCTGGCTCACGCCCTCTCGAAGGCTTCATCACTCGAGCCAACGCCAAGCCTTCTCTCTCGAAGAGGAAATACAAAAAAGATGATTTACAAAACAGTTTCTTTCTTGTGATTATTTACTCTTAAATTTTGAGTTAGTAACTATATAGATTTAAAAATGAATTTAGTAATTACAGATATGACTTGCGTTTAGAAGAACACGACCGATAATTTCGAAAATTAGTCTTCGTTTTATGCATGCACATTATATCCATAATGACATCTTTGGAGCAATGTATATTGGTTTAACCACGTTTATAGCTAAAAAAATTATAGCAAAATACAATCCAAACTCAATGAAGTCTATTATAAGTTTAATAAAGAGACAACGAAAGTCTGAATCAAAACAACATCAAAAAACAAAATCTCTCAAGAGAAAGGGATATGAAACTTCAACGCTGGGCATTGAGATTTCCCTATTTCAATACATCCTCTTCAAAGTTCTTGCACATTCAAACCTGCAAATACAGAGATCGATATGTCAAAAACAAATATAAAACACCAAGATTCACACGGACGCACATACATACAACAACTAAGAACAGATACTAAAAGTGCAAATGTACATACTTTCATACAAGGATCCCGATATCAAAATCTAACGAAAATCATTAATAAAGATGTTTCAAGTGATGGAACTACTTAAATCGACCCATTTGCCAAAATCTAACAATGAGGTTTCAAATGATTGATAGCAAATGTGTAATGTATGTAAAACACAAACAAAAATGAGGTCGCGAGAGAGAGAGATGAGATTAGTGACCTGGAGGAAGTGACTGCTTAAGCTTATCAGCCTTCTCTTGGTCGAAGACGCATAGTGTGTAGAGGTACCTAGAGCACCTGACCTTGAACTTGACAATATCCTTGCTTCTCTTGATCTTCACTGACCTAGCATCCTTCCTTCTCGCCGTCAGAAGGAAGTCCTTGATCTCGTGGATTTGCTTAGGCTGCTCATATCAAAATCAAATACACCATTTGTCATTCAATGCAAAAACTCATAAACCCAATTCAAATGAAAACTCACAGCAACATTCAAAAAAGAAACTTCAAACAAATAGATTGATGACGAGGACGACTCTTTTTAATCTACTAGGTTATATAAGAAACCAGACAGTAAGAGATTGCTTTCATCTGGATGATAAAATTCAGAAGATTAAGACAAGACAGAACTATCAAGACAGTGATGAGCTAAAACGGCGATTATATTAAACCCTAATAACATAAGCTTCACTAGTCTTTTGCAAGAACGATACGAATTTCAGAGACGACGAAAAAGTACCATTCTCGGATCTGATTTTCTCGCTGCAACTTTCTTCCACTAAGAGAACCCACCGCCGGGAAGAAGTTGACGCCTTAATATTCTCTTTGAAGCAGAAAACCCTAGATGTGTCATATATACGAATTTACAAGTAAACCCCTCAGGTCCAGTTATCAGTCAATTTAGCTATTGGGTTTAATGGCCCAAATTGATAATTAGTTGTTGTTCCGCAAGTTTCAGTCGTAATTATTTTTCTTCTTGGTAACTTTCTCCAATAGATATGTCTCATAAATACGAATTTCCAAATAAAGCCCTCAGGCCCAATGGCCCAAATTGATATTTAGTCGTTGTTCCGAAAGTTTCAGTTATTTTTCCTTTCTGTTAATTCTCAAGTAACTTTCTCCAATATATTTCAACATCGCGCCACCCAATATTTTTCCCGCGCCACTAGGAAAAGCTCTTCTTCTTCTCCAGAAACTAATAAAAACCCTAACCTCTTCGTCCCCTGTATTCGAAAATCGATTGGTTTTTTTTTTAATCGCTAAACACTCGCTAACTCTGCTCTCTCAACGCGATTTCGGAAGAACCTTGCTCTTTGCTTCTTTACCTGATTTCACCGTGTGATAATTTTGAAGGAAGCCGATGTTTTACTCGCAGACTCATTTGGCTCGAAAGGGTCCACTGGGGACGGTGTGGACCGCCGCTCACTTGCAAAATCGCCTCAAGAAGTCTCACTACACCGCCACCAACATCCCCCAAACTGTTGGTTCGTCTTTCCTCTTCGATTTTTTTCTCTCTGGTCAATCAAAGTTGGCTTTTTTTTGTTTTGTTCATCCCCTTTGATTCTAATCCAATTCGGAAATTCAACACTTTTCACGCTCAATTTTGATCATTCTTGACTTGGGCATTCACCGAATTGCTGTTTTGCCTCATAAAACTGTAAAAGTTTTGACTTTTTAATCTGTAAAGTTTATAATATATGGAATTGTCTTTTTGCAGATCTTATAATTTTTCCCGAGGTGCCAATGGCATTGAGATTGTCAGGTCACCTTCTACTTGGGGTTGTGCGAATATACTCAAAGCAAGTGGACTATCTTTTCCGTGACTGTAATCTCTTTAGCACTTGGTTGGCTAAGGCTTTCGTTTCTACTCAAGTCGACTTGCCGGAGGACGCGAGACAGGCGCCGGTTGAGTCTGTGACGTTACCTCAAACACTAAACTTGGAAGATTTCGACTTGGAGGATCACACACTCGACGGGTATCTATCTCTTTTCACTCTCTTTTATCAATGGAGTTTGATCTGTTATAAAGAAAGATCTCCTGAGAGTTGTTTATTTCTGTTCTTGTGATTCTTAGGGAATTTGATAACAATCTCCGGAATGAGGAAGATATCACTCTCACAGGTACGTATTTGTTTTTAATTGTTATTGTGTGTGCAGATGCATTATATATACCATGATTCGAGGTGTTAATGATGCTGATGCTGGTTTTTGCAGATCAAATTCCTACTGGCGTTGATCCTTATGTTTCTATAACATTCGATGAGGTGAGATTCCTGCTTGTGTCTTTATGTCTTTGAAGTTGTTTCATGTCTCCCGAGAACCTGTTATTGAAGGAAAGTTTGTATGTGTTTCTTACAGGACATCATTCCAGAATCTAGCCCGATGGATGTCGAGTGAGTCTCTTTTCGTCGAGTTTTGATTTCCTCTACTATACCTATTTCTTTCTCTCATCTTTTCAAGGATGTGCTTTCTGATGGTTGTTACCTCTTCTTGTGATTTTAAACAGCCAATCCACAGTCCCTGTGAGTGGGAATCTTGGAGAAACTGATGTTGAAATGGCTTATGAGACAGAACGAAACGATGAGCCAGGAGACTTCAATGTTGGTCTAGATACTGGAACTCATGGTCCTCGTGGCGACACAGAGGAAATCCCTGAGTCCCAGGATCCTAGACAAAGTAACATGACAGAAGCGCTCAATCCCAGTCCCGAGAGAAGCAATGCCAGTTCTCCTGGAACTGTTCCCGAGATTGAGAGAATGCGTGACGCTGCACATGATTTCAGCCCTCCATCATTTGCTGCACGTGATTTCACCCCTCCATCATTTGCTGCTGCGCAACAGAACACTGGGTCTTTAGATGAAACTTTGAATGTTAAGGAACACACTATGCCTGATATTGATGAAGAAGTGTTAAATTCTAGAGGAAATTCGACGGGTGAGCTTCGCTCAGGATCTCCGTTTGAGCTTCGCTCAGGATCGCCGTTTGTGCTTCGCTCAGGATCTCCGTTTGTGCTTCGCTCAGAAACTCCTCCTCCTCCTTCTCCTCCTCCTCCTCCTCCCCAGCCACAAGCAAGGCCAGGGAAGAGGAAGCGCTTTGATAAGGTCACAGTATTATCTAACAGGTAATAAATTTTCCATTGCCTCATGTGACTTTGGTTATTTTGTTACCTGTTGCATACTGATGAAAGAATTTGGACAGGTACATGAGAGAAAGGCTTGAGGATCCTAGTGATACTGTTTGCAAGAGAAAGAAGATGCCTTCTTCTAAAGTAAAAATCTGGAGAATGAATAACCAGTCAAAGAAGGATCAGATTTTCAATGAGCCCTTGCTTACTGGTAATTTTCCTGTGATTCTTTCTTTGTTTTACACGGTTTTACCTTGTTTTGCCCTTTGTTTCCTTGTTTGAAGAATGTTTGTTACATGTCTCTGTCTATCCACAGGCTTCTCAGATGCTTTACGCAGCGTATTTGAAAAGGACTGTGTAACTTCAAAGCCACATCTTGCTGTTTCTGATGAAACTATTCCTCAACCTGCATCTGTATCATCTCCTACTCGAGAAGCTGAAACAGAAGTTAACCCGACCTCCCCTATTCCACAATCTGCGGTTCCTGATTCTACTATTCCAGACAGTACAGTTCCTCTGTCTCCAGTTCAACAAACTGAAGATGTCCAAGACATTGCAAACCCTCGGTCCGCACAGGCAGAGTCTGTAGCAACAGAATCTCTTCCGCCAATCGAGCGTTTAAGGGCTGGCGGTTGCCCTGTGTACATGCCGTCGCCACCTCCAAGATTTTCACCTTCTAGAACCGATGACTTCACCACTCAGCCTCGGATTTGGGAGACAGAGTCTTACAGAACAGAGCCTTCAACTTCCACATATCCAGAGGATCGGCCTGGACGATGGAACTCGGGGATTTCACCAATTCCTGGAATGGCAGACGAGGTTTGTTCTCACGGTTTCGCATGTTTTGTTTGTTACCATTCTTGGTGTTTTACTGACATTGGTAGAAATACCATTTGCATGTGTCGTACAGGAACTTTATTTCTTGGAGGTAGGTGGAGATACGCCGGTAAGATCACCAACTAGTCAAGATTCTGATGGTTTGACAGGGAGAACAAGGTAAGAAAGATTCCAAACTCCATCGTAGCTTCTATGAGCCTACTGCTTCTTTACTAACTTGTAACACATTCGTTGAAAACTGCAGAGCCTTGGCTCAGTATCTTAAGGAACGTTCTTCAAGTAGTCCCACTTCAAGCGATCATTCTGGAGACTTGAGTTTGGGCAAGATCTTGGCAGGAAAAACAAGGAAGCTAGCTGCTCGAATGTTCTTCGAGACACTGGTATAATTGATTCTCAGTAAAAGATACTTCCTTCTTTTGTCTCTGCATTGCCTCAAACTGAAACAAGTTATTATTTGGTTTACAGGTTTTGAAGTCTAGAGGACTTGTAGATGTGAAACAAGAGCAACCCTACAGCGATATCGCTCTGAAGTTGATGCCTGCCCTTTTTTCGAAAGTGCAATCATGAATAAACAATGCTCACTAGAGTTATTTATGTGTATATAAACAAGTGGTGATTTCTTAATCTTGCTTATCCCTAGTTTACAAGTATACCTTTTTCTCGAAGAAAACATGGGTCCAAGACCTATATAATATCCATCATTAGTCATTACTTAAGTGAAAATGACAATTGTGTGTAAAATAACCATTCCTTTATAGCTTGTTTCACGTTACTGTCTTAATGATCAAAACCCTTCCAATGGACTTTGGACCCATCAAAAATAAAACGAGTTTCCTCAAAAAGTTGTCAAAAACGCAGTATGCATAGTTTTTAACTCATGAAATCTTTAAATAGCAGCAAACCCTTCTTCGAAATCCAAAGACGACCTACTTGTCTTAAACCTGTTCTTCTTTTGTATACCTTAGTCAGACTATTGTATCTAAAAACACAATTAACGGTTATATGTGGATTCTATCTTAGTCATCATTCATTCTCTAAGGGGCAGAACTACGGCTTAAACTTGGTCTTTGGCTAAAGTTCTCATCATCACTTTGAAACTCCCTTGGGATCTAGTTCTCCATCGCGGTTTGATTCTGTATCTGGAGCGGTTTACTCTGGGACTGAGTGTGGCTCTCAATCTTGATTACCTGATTCTAATTTTGTTTAATGCAATTAGATATGAGGAAGAGCAAAGATTGCTAGATGCAAAGAAGATAGACTTGTGTTCTGTGTCAGTTTCAATAACAATTGAGCATCTAACCTTGTACATGTATTTCCTGCGAAGTTTCATGGCTGTGCGTATGCATCTTCTCACTCTAATTGCAAGCAGCTTGTCATTAAAAATCTGCACAATGTCTCAGATCAGTAACGAGTTTCGAAACACTATAAAGGCATCACCACTGCAGTTAGTGCAAAGAAACAAAGGTCTAACATACATAACTTCAGTGGAAAGCATCCTACTGTACCTTTATCATGTCATCGATCGACCGAGTTTCTTTCATGATCTTGTGCCGGTTCATTATCAGAATCGCTGCCACACAAAAGACTGGAAGAGGGTCATCTCCTTTTCCAAAGGATGAAACTACAGAAGAGATATGGGTTCTTTCGTTCCTAGACCATAAGCTTCTTGTCAAACCACATAAATTATATGAAGATTCTGACTTCATCCCATCATCAGACAGCGGACCGGTCTTTGGCAGTGGACCGCTTTTGGGCAATAGACCGCTCCTGGACAAGAGACTCTTCTTTGACAAAGGTCCGCTCTTTGAAATCCGGTCGCTCTTTGATGTTGGTTCACTGTTTGTACTGCTGCCATTTCCATCATCGAGTTTTTGGTCCCCTAACTCAGCTACAGATTGTCTTGGAAGCTGAACCACCAACGGCTCCAAGCAATCATTCTCCAAAGTTTCAGCAACAGACTCGCTAAAATCAGCCGCCCACATCATCTGCAGCAGAATAAGACCCATGAATACATTTGCAAGAGTTTATTGAATCTGATAATAAGTAATCCAAGATTCTCTGTTTCACCAAGCTCTTGCAACCATTAGATAACTATATCCATTTGTTATCATGAGTGAGACACTAAGTCAAGTAATGAATCTAATTATCATATTTTCAACAGCTAAACCAGACTCAAAAATATGCAGTTATGGGAAAATTGATTTGTTTTCGAAATTTTCTACTCTGTTTGCTCACTATAAACCAAAGAAACATAGTGTGAGCAAGAAACCGGCAACACAAGAGACAACCTCCCACATCCGTAGAGCCTCGTTAAAAGACAACTCCCGTCGGAACAACACTAACAGCATCCGGAACGCAAAGTGAAGGCTTTCAGCACCGATACGCGATAGGTGAGAAAAGATCTCTTTATCTGTGAGTTGCAGTATATGCCACAGTGTTTGCAATTGATCCATCACTCCAGTTGGTCCTTCTATCTGAAAATTTGCACGCTGCAGTGACAACCACATAAAGAAAGAACATCAAATTACAGCATACCCTACTTTACTTATTGGGGCAAAAAGAAAACACATGTTACACATCAGTAGACATTGGAATACCGTTCTTCTTATGAGCATTTCGAAGCACCAAAAAGCGTCTGCGTTATCTTCAAAAAGAACCACGAAGGGGGACACTAAATCGCTCATTCCTGTCATTAGATTTGCCACCAGACATATCAGTATATACATCGATCAATAAAAAAGTTACAAACTCAAGAGAGATTTGGAACCTTGGCAATAACCAGTTGCAGGATCAACCCAAGCGTAGACCGCAAGGATATCTGACATTCTTCCTAGATTACGTGGATCTTCATAGAACTCAAGGTGGCTATCTGTCCTTACCACATCAACAACTGTAGGAAAAGTAAAAGTAATTATTGATTCGGAATAGTGATATCTTGCAAGTTCTCCAGAATAGAAGAAACTCACACAACTGGTACCTATTCGGTGCAGTGTCCAGAGCCATTCAGACATCCGATCTTCCGTGACAGTCCCACTCCGAGGAGGAGTCTCCTTTGCCGATGGCATTTCAGGGACATCTGATATTTTCAGACCATCAACAATCTCCGTAGTGCAGCCGGAATGAGACAATTGTTCAACAGAGTCAGGATGTACCACTTCAATTTCTGAGTTAATGTTTGCAGTTATGTTGTCATAAGAAGACCCGTGCGACTCTATAACTAGATCCGCATTCTTAACAATTCGAAAACTGTGCATTCCCTCATCCTCAGATCTTAATTCACTTTGCATTGAAGCTTCCTCATCTGGAGAAGAAAGCCCTTTCTTATTTAAGCTACTCCTCCCAAACAAATCTGTGATGGGTAGAGAGGGGAATTCAAAGAACCCATCCGCAACATAAGGACCAGAAGAAGGAAAGCCATGTGGAGTAGATGCCGGTACAAAAGGAGAAGTACTTTCAGGACTCTCTCTTCCACTTACTAAGTCAACTGAATCACTAGAACTTCCTCTTCTGTGCACGTGGGATGTGTCAGTATCATTATTACTCCAATCACCGTGATTTTCATTTTTCTCATTACCATCCATAGAAGCTTCTGTGCTTTCGTCTGTAGCTTCCTTTACCACTTCCTTTTTGTATGATTTTCGCATATCCATGACTTTAGATCCCACAACATAGGCAAGTGAACCAGTTCCCACACTCGAATGCATCATCTGGCATTGCTTCAGCAGCTCATTGTATCGTTCTCTGCATGAATGGTAAACAGAACGTTAAACTTTCCTATTTCACTTAGGCACTCTCTCTGATACAAACATCAAAGCAAACAAACTGTCCAACCTCCGGGCTATTCTGAGTTGACTACGGTACTCAGAGGTGCTGCTCAATGCATAACAGCCAAGAAGAAACTCCCAAACTTCAGCTCTTATTGATGGATCGATTCCCTAACAACAACAAAAAAAAAGGGATGCATCAGAATATCGAATCAAAGACTTAAAAATTGTGAAGCAGCTCCGGTAGCTCTAGAGTGAATGCTACAAAATCATCAGCCAAAGGAGACATACCCCCAAGACAATTAGCTTGAGCGCCTTCTGGAAACCAGAAACCTTTCCATCACAATCGAAAAAGGCCCGCCACTTCTCTGGCTTAAGCATTTTACCGATCTGCACATTTGAAACACTAAGACATTTGAATCATCTTATTTCAGGAGTAGATTTGAAATGAACACGTTAGATAGTAAAAGGTTACATATTCAAAAAAAATATATATATACTTTATTAAGAAATGACAAATAAAGCAAGAAACATACAAAGGATTCTGAAACATTCCTCAAATCTCAAGACCCTAAAGTGTATTTGAATCTTATAAACCATTTGAAGAAGCCAAAAGAAGAGAAGGGTGAATGAAAAGGATCTTACAGTTAAAAGAACCTGTATCCCGGATTGTGAAAGACAAGGCTCGCTTAGATCCCGAACCAAAGAAGCCACTTTTTGCAAACTCACCACACCAGGATTCCCACAAGTCCATTTCTTTCCCTCTCCACCAGAAAACATCAGTAACCAAAACACGCACACGCAAACCCTCCTCCCTCCCCACTTCCCACTTCCTCCTTCACAAACGGAATCATCCGTTGGAACCCCTTCAAAACAAACCCCAAAAGCAGCAAAGAGACCTCTGCAACAAGACAGTAACTTGTCAACATTTCACATATAATGGAGGAAGCACATTGCTTTGTCTGTCATTGACAAAGCAATAGAGAGGTGAGCAGTGACCAATGTCGCCAAATCTAATGGCAAGCAGAGATTCTCAGATGATAACAGAGCCTAAAATCGTAAATCCCAGATATAGAACTCAGAAATGAGAAAGCTTTACGCGTCATAGCAATCCGCAGATATGAATCGGACAAGACGTAACCAGAGATCAACAGATCCCGTTCAAATTAGATTGGAAATAGGTAGAAGAGCTCAGAAATTACGGAAAATACAGATACATTCCTCGAAACATGTATAAATCTAGCGCCTCAGATGCATGTCATCCTTACATGAGCAATGCATTACATCAAATGGCGAATGCGGTACTACTCATGCATCAATGGAGACAAATAAAGAATGAGAGAGAGAGAGAGAGGGAAAAAAAACCTGTAAAATGTTCACGGAGGATGTTCTTCTCCGATGGCCATTTTCCTTCTACGGAAAGTCTTTCTCCGTTTATTTGTTTGTGTTTCCTCGTCTCTCTCTCTCTCTCTCTCTCTTGTTTTCTGATGAAGAAGTTATGTTCCTTCTCTCCTCTCTCTCTTTCGTTTTGTTGTCTCTCTCTCTCTCTCTTTTCGCCAAAGTTTCTCCCTTTGTTTCTACTTGCTTTTTTATTTAGGTTGACATTTCAATTTAGTCAAATTACACTCATGACTGAAGAAAACAAAAAAAAAAAAACTAGCTATAATTTGCATTCCACTGTGATACTACTTTCGTTATTAATTCTTCCAAAAACAAAGTCTGTGAGCTATTTAATTATTTATTCAGAACTAAGATTAATGGTTTTTTTCGGTCCAGTGGATATTGCCAATTTGCCATATCGCC